TTGCATTTTTAGTTTTTTCGTAGCAGTCACCGATTTTTATAAAATAGAGTCCCCATAAGGGAAAAAAAATGGATATTTATCACGTATCAGGATAGGTAAACCCGCTCGCACACACACACGCACACACACAGAAGGATCTCCGTTCATCAGGGGACACTCAGGTATTCACAGTCACACGCAGAGCACATGAAGCCAACTTTACTGCTTCCATTTCTTTTCATTTGCTGGGAGAAACACCATTATTTTTAACTCAATTTTTAAACTTGTATTAAGTATCTTGTTCTCCTAAAATTTCAGCGGCACCCATGAATGGTATGAAATTGATTTAATGAGATAGTGAATCTTATAAGAAATAATTGAGATGAGCGATAAGGCTTAGGAGGGTTCCTAGCTAGACTTTATGATAATCTCATTTTGAGCTAAGATATAAGTGGATATACAGTGAGATTTCCAAAAAGCCGCGGTGAGCTCGTTCAATTTTTTTTTCTTTTAAAGATCTGAGCCAGTGAGATTTTCAACAATGATTTATAGAAATATCAGATGTGATTCTCATCTTTTTGTTGTACTGATCTCACTTTTTATGTATGAGAAGAGGGACGGGAAAGATGATCTCACTGTCTCACGGCCCTTTCATCAAACCTGCCTCACTGAGGATCTCACTCACCGTGGAGGAAACCGTGCAGCGTGCGGAGTTTGTGCATGCATGCCATTGGACAGCTGAGATCATGTGACAGGGAGTGCCGGGACTGCTTTTTGTATGATTGGGGCTTTAAAGGCACTGGGAAAGCCCGCTTGTGTGATGCACTGGGAGCCGGTATGAAAGGTTGTGGGCCATACAGAGTGTGGGGGGCGGGGCTCGGCATGGCCACATGTGCCCTGCTGTTCCGGGAGAGCCGCAAAATCATTATGGATCCCAGTATAAGGCTGGTGGCCGGTTGCCAGGGAAACGTGCGTGGTTCCCTTCCTCCTGCTGTTTACTAAACGTGCTGATTTTAGCGAGAGCTTCATTCTGAGTGATGTGAGCCTCAGATGCTGGAAGGACGATTTAAACAGGCCGAGCAGGGGGGGGGCCCTCACCTGGGTCTGCATGCGGGGGTGTGAGCTGCACGCCTGCTCGGGTCTCTCTTTGTGTACTTGCATGCGGTTTAGTGGAATTATGGGAAAAGACTGGGGCCCACGTGCACGGGGGGGGCGGGCGCAGAAAGCGGGACAGCATTGGTGGGGGATCGCAGCACACCTCTGTTGATTTGTGGTCAGGCATTCACCACGCCCCCAAGGTTGCTGTGGGGGGTGAGTGACAGGGAGGGGGCTGTGATTATAACCACCCCCCCCCCCACCCTGCTCATTGCTCTGCCTGGAAAGCTCCTTTAATTAAGGTCTCTCCAAGGTTTCCTAAACATCACAGGCAGGTGTCACGTGCCGCCCCCCCCCAGCCCCCACGTCATGTTGGTTAGCTGCCCCCCCCCAGTGTCTGATTACCCCCGTCTGTGAGAGAGCAAAGGGCGGCTAACCTTTTCTCTTTGGTAGTGGGGGGACCCACAATTAACGACCGTGCAGCAGTTATCTCAGCGAGCCTGCTGGGGGTGCTGGGAGGGGGGGCTGGGGGGGGCGTATCTGTGATTAGCTCGGGGGGCCGGCGGCTGGGAGGAGAAGCAGCGACCATCCAGTCAGGCCTGGAATGTGGGCAGAAGGGCGAGTCGGACACCAGGACCAGGGAATTCCTCAGGTTTACCAGGGAGTCAAGGCCTCCTACATTTTCCTTGGAATTCCTAAGATCGATTTTCAGACACTAGGTGCTTATTCATGTTTTTCTGGGTGACATTTTTTTTGACAAGAAGAAATTCAGGTTTATAAAAATCTGTGACTGTAATCAAAAAAACTAAATGCCCAAAGTCTTGTATTTTGTTTGGTTACTTATGGTTAAGGTTAGGGCTGGGTGGGGTTAAGGTTCTTATTGTTGGGATTAGGGTTTTGCCCATAGAAATAAATGGACAACCTCCACAGAGATGAGTATCTGTGTGTCTGTCTGTCTGTCTGTCTGTAGCGCCCCCCCCCACATTTTTTTTAATGAACATTACACACTGTGAATTCTGCCCCCCCCAGGGAGGTCGTAAATCCAAGGAGGGCTCACTGTCATTTACTGAAGCCCAGTCCACATGCTAATGACCTGCTGGGCCCCTGCCATTAAGCCTTAGCGGCAGCCCAGTCAAGGCGGGACCCTAATATGTGCTCAGTAAGGACCTTTAAAGGGCCAGGTTCCCCCCACGCGTCCCTAAGTGACATGTTTTATGGTGACAGGTACGGAAGGAACAGGATGGGCTTCAGGGAGGGAGGAGGGGGGGATTTTTACCATATGGCCATGGGGGGCTGTGAAGGGCACGGCATACGTGCTGTAACGCCATGTTCCCTGGGAGTTCAGCTTCAGCTGCCCCCAGGGGGCTGTTCCGGCCCATGAACAGAATCTCCGTCCCTCTGGACTCCTCCCCAGTTCCTGATGTGTGGCAGGTTGGCGGCTGAAAGCACGCTGCGTCTTCTTACATTGCCATGGAGAAGCACCAGAAGCTGGCACTTTGTCCTGCGTACTATATGTTCCAGGAGAAACTTTCCGAGGGCTAAAGGCTTTGTCCTGTGGGCAGATACAGGGCGTGTGGAAAGGCGAGCGAGCGAGAGCGTCGCCCTGAGGCCGATTCCTCACAGACCCCTGATTCCATGGTCTTCACATGAATCTCAAGCTTAGGCTGTTTCAACACTCAAGAACAGAAGTACAGAGGACAGTAAAAATCCCCGGACGTCATTCTTGCCCCAGCCCCAAATATGAAAGATATATCATTTGCATCCATCGGTCCAATCCCATGATTCATTGCACGACAAGTTTGTTCTCGGGAGGCAAATTAACAAGACCAGTCTGACTAAGACCACAGGTTTGCGTTCTTGATATTGAGAAACATCTCTAGTCTGCTTGGGATTCAAATGAAAAGTGACTGCAGGTGGGATGGCCAACTGGAACTGTTTGCAGAGTTTTTATGCTCAGTGGCAGTGTTTAATTGGTGATATAGGGCAGCTTTTATAGTGTCCCTGCCAAACATTTAGTTAACAGCTAAACCTCATGAAAGATTTAACAAGTTTTAAAAGTTTATTTTTTCTCTACTGACTATTTATCTGAGAAACAGAATGATCAGACACGATGTGTTGGCCCTGAATAATACACCTATGTAAGTGGGTGATGTGTGTTTATTTCTCTGGGGTAATGACCCCCCAAGAGGTGGTGGGTCCTCTGATGGTCCTCTGATCGTCTCCCAAGTCACGATGATTTATTGATACGGGATTGGACCTGCCGACCCAACCAACCAGGTGGGCAGTACTGCGACCCCAACAACAGTGGGGGGGTGGGGTGGGGTTCTTTGTTCCTTTTGTCTTGCAGGGCAGCCTTACGGTGCCGGATTTACGGGGCGGCGTGGCGGCTGGGGCATCTCTGCGGGGGGGGTATGCTGCAGCCCCCCCCCCAGCAGCCGCGTGGTTGAGGGATTGAGCTGGCGGCCCCCGCTTCTGTGCCGCAAGCCGGATCAATAATTCATGAGAGCAAATAGGACAAAACCCACCCACCCGCAACTGCCCCCCTCCGCTTTGTGCAAACGAAGGCAGAAAATAATGAAATGAATGCAAGAAAATAATCTGCCTGCAATATAGAAACATGATATATATACGCGCATGTGTGTGTGTACGTGTGCGCATGTGTGTGTGTACGTGTGCGCACGTGTGTGATGTGTGCGTGCGTGTGTGTGTGTGTGTATAATACATAAATAAGTGGATTTTAATTTCATCATTTAAATCAAATTGTTTTTGAGTTTCAGTTTATCTGCGCTTTTCTTCACTTTTTCTGTAGAAATATTCACCTCTCGGTCACATAAAATCCCAGTATGTAAAGGCGAGATGGTTTGGTAATGTCTGTAATGACAGATCAAAACATACCTTCCTTAGTTTGTAAGACTTTTCACATATTTTTAAAATGTCTGACATTGTTTATTGGGTACCATTAATTACCTTGACTTCTAGCCATAAATTCTGAAATACTTTTACTTCCATTGATTGTATAGGATAATTAAATGTCTTTGTCTCTTGTACATTTATTACATATCGTCAAACAAAGAGTACAGTTTCTTTGCGGCATGCAGCCCGTGTTTGTGGTTGCGAGTCACTGCTTCTGTTCTCTTGCCAGTGGTATCGCCTCTTGTTTGTTTCACTGTCCTAATGAGCTGCTATTATGGAAAGTGAGGCTGCCTGGGTTTACTGTGGGTCTCGCTGCAATGGAAACACTCACCTTGGTCGGTGCCAGCTTCATATTGGGGTAAAAGAGTCAGGTATTTGTGAAAAACTGGATCCTAGACATTCATTCTCATGGTTGTGTGATAGTTTGTATCAGTCTTCGTGCTTGCATCTAATAGAGGTGGCTTCTTTTGTGTTTTGGGCATTAAAGTACTTGATTATGTGCTTACACGCAACACAAACCTGCTGACCGTGGGAGGATTGTATTTGTCACTCATATAATGTCCTATCGGTGCTCTTAACCAGATCGATAGGAGGAGGGTGTCACTGTCAGATAAACATGTCTTAGGGTTAGGATCAGAAGTCAGTGATTGTTAGTTTGTGGGACTGTTTGTCTTGTAGAATACTGATGGTTTTGTAGAGCGCTGACATGCAAGCAGCACGTGGCTAAATCAGCATATGGAATTACCTGCCGCACAGAGCCGACATCTTTGTATTTCCTGCTGCTTAAGTGTTGAAAGGGATACAGAGGAAGCTTGGAGCCCTTCTTTCCTGCTCGACGGGTAAACATCGCGTGCTGTTTGTGCGAGCATCCTGCTCGGGGGAGACTACATGAAAAGACAAGTGCATGTGGCTGATTTTCAGCTCACCTCTTGAGCAAAAGCATCATCAGATCGCAGATATCTGTCTGCATCTCCGTCTGCTGATGGCCAACCTGTGTCCTTTTCCCCTGACAGGTGCTTCTCTCTGGCTTGATTGGAGTGGTGTCCTGGAAGAGGCCGCTGTCCCTGGTGGTAAGTGACAAGGCCAGTTTTTGGACGGTCTGCTAATTCACGTATTTATGAACCGTGACCGAGTTCAGGCTCCTCACTGAAGAAGCAGCTAGAGGAGCTCGTTGTCCTCCAAAGAGCCACTGACAGTGTAAATGGGAATCTTTGGAATGCCACTGCCCCCCAGCCCCCCTGCCCCCAAGTCCCCACGTGCAGAACGCAGCCCATCGCTAGCCAGTCCAAGCTGTCTGCTTTGCATTTGATCATGAATAATCCACCTTTCTGAGATAGATGTCGTCCTGCTGATCTACAGGAATATCTGAACATTTCACCTGGTTCCGAGCCGCTGCTGGAGATGCCTTCAGAGCTGCTGGCTCCATCCCCGCCCCTCTGTTTTTGGGGGCTTTATCTGGCTGTTCCCAGTATCTCCTGCAGTCCGACAGCATGTGGTTAGGTGTCTCTAAATTGCCCTTTGTTTCTGTGCCCAGCAATAGACTGGGATCCTATCCAGGGGGCTCCTTGACCATGGGCTTGGCAGGTCTAGCTGCAGGCTCACTGCATCCCTGTTCTGCTGGTGGCTGACGGGTGGTCGTGTCGGTGTGGGATTAATGACTACGTTGTCAGTTCTGCCTGATGTGGATTCACACACCCCCTTAACCGGCATTGCCTCGTGGCACCAAGGCGATACTTACCACTGATCTTCTGTTGCATGACACACACACACACACGCACACACACACAGAACCAGAGCGGCTCTCACAGCAGGCAGGCGGCCTGATTGGCTCACATCCTTCATACGGCTCGTCCTGGGCCGGAGCCGACCCAGCGGCGCTGTGCTGGTGGGCTGTGCGTGAGCCGCTGAGTCAGCCGCAGGCCTCCAGTACCTCGCAGGATGCCAGCAGGTCCCTGACGTCTCACGTCCAGCGGACAGCAGCTTCGAGAGGTCAGGACTCGCCGTCCCAGAATGAGGAATGTGCCCGCTGTCGGGTCAATTGTCCAGCTGCTTCTCTCTGAAATCTCACTGCCAGGGGCGGGTCTCTGGAGACACGGGTGCCGGTCAGGGTCCTCTTCGCTGAGTCCTCACTGAGCGCGCTCAGCAGGCTTGCGGTCATGTGATGCTTTGTGCACCACACACCTAGCCCTTTTGTTGTGAATCTGGGATTTTCAAAGGTATTCTGCCCACCCCACCGCCCAGATCATTCACAGCAGCAGCCCTCCCTGTATCAGCATCGCTGCCCTGGAGAGAGCCTGTGGTTTTTGGCACAGTGCCAGGCCTGCGTCTGTAAGAACAGAAGCTAATGAATCAGCCCCCACTACAGCACCGATGGGGGGGGGGGGGAATGAGTCAGTCAGGCTCCCGGGACTGTAGGAGGGAGATCTGGCTTCGATCCAGGTTGGTCTCCTACTCTCCGTCTTCTGGAGTTCCTGGGATCGGGGAAATGGTCAGGAAAGGCTGTGACTGATTGGTTAGTCCCAGGACCATGGGACCAGTCAAATAGATGGACGTGCAGGGAGCAGTTTATGCTGCAGGGTGCAGATGACAGTGGAATTTAGCTTTGCCATGTCGGTTCCTGCTTTTTCAGAGATTGAGAAAAACTGATACAAAATCCAGTGGAGCTTTTATTATCGGGGGAAAAAGTTCCGCCATTGGTGACGTGCACCATTTCCTGGGGGGGTCACTGTCCGGCCTTCTCCCATCAGACTGATGAAGTGAAGGCCTCAGCTGCCTCTGGCGTGTGACTGGGGGACAGGCGACTCGGACTAACGCTTCCCTTCCTTGACAAGGGTGCTACTGGCGTAATGTGTCTCATTTTTCCATAAAAAGCTACAATGTTGAATATNGAGACAGGAAGACAGGCGACTCGGACTAACGCTTCCCTTCCTTGACAAGGGTGCTACTGGCGTAATGTGTCTCATTTTTCCATAAAAAGCTACAATGTTGAATATCTAATGAGCAATTAGGGAGCTGGACGTCGTCGCCGGTTACGCCGGGCGCTATGAAGCCGGGGGGGGGGCGTTCCGTGACAGTGAATCATCCCCCCCTCCAGTTTAAACTCTTCCCATGAAATATTTAGTTACCCACTCGGCTCCTAATAGTTTCAATTGATCTCAGTTGACACTCCGTATCATTAAAGCCGCAGCCTCAGTGCTGTGAGGTGAGCATCCCCTCGCCGTGTGTGTGATGACGGCCCCTAAGGGCTGAACGTTGTTGTACCTCGTCCAGATTCTCTCTGTTGTTACAAGAAAAACAAAACTGCGGTAGCAGATGGATTAGCGTCGCTGCTGGCCGCCTGTCACCGATGACTGCTCTCCGCTCAGGGTCTGGCCTCCTGCGCTGACCTCGTCTGACATTCACTACACCGCTTGGGTGTGTGAATCAGGGCCGCTGAGCGCCAGCCAGACACAGGAGCCGCTCTCCATAGATCTTGAGGTTTCCCGCTCACCGCTGGCACACTCCCCAAGGCTGTGGCCCCCAGCTCTTCAGATTGTCAAGTTCTCTGAGCGACGTGTGCCTGGTGTGTGGTGGGGGGGGGGTTTAAAGAAGGCCGGCACTGTGTTTACCATCTGCAGCTGCTGGCATGCGCTAACCTTTGCATAGACAAAGCGCAAACCCTGGAGGACCTGGCAGGGGAAGGGGTCTCGTGGGGAAGCTGCTGTTTCTGTCAGATGCCCCCATATTGATTCAGACCCCCCCCCCACACACACACACCCTCAGGGGCCTGGGGGAGCAGCATGCTCTCTAAGCCCCAGGGAATTCATCCCACGCCGTCTCCCCACATCTCCCTAGCAACAGCTGTAAACATTCCCCTAATATTTATCCCAGTAAGTGTGCATGGTACCCAGTATTGGGACAGCATTACCATATCTGCAAGCGAAATGTATCACGGAACGGAAACCATGACCTCTGCACATAGAACTGCACAGGGCCTGGGCACATACACTGGCCAGGGGTGCTGCATGGTTTGGCGGGGGGCGCTAAAAAATGTGGTATATAATTAGGTTGCTCTGGGTTGGGGGCCCAAAATCTCTAGCGACGCCCCTGTTGCTGTTGTGAGCTGAGGGGCGGGACTATGCTGATTCACTCTGCTGGTACCGCTGGGCCTTATGGGTAGCTGAGCGTTTTCCGTTACGATGGGCACCGCGGCATCTTCACAGATGTCAGCACAGCATCTCGTAACTCTGTTCTCAGACCTGCACCCGTCCCGGCTGGCGGGGGGGGAGGAGCAGCAGCTCTCTCAGCTTGGCCGAGGGCTTTTGACCACCGGCTATGAGAGAACTTGTGATATTGGCAATCTTCCGGAAAGTCTTTGGTGCTCCCATGGAGTGGTGAGAGAGACAGACCTCGGCAACTCCTGTTAGGAGGGGGAGTCGGGTGTTGTCCGTGCAGGTGACGACGGTCACAGGTGGCCTCCTCCTGCTGGCCTCCATCTGTCGTGTTATCCTCAATAAGCAGGGGAGATGTTATGGTTTTGCTGGAGCTGGAACTAAACAAGCGTGTGCAGAAATGTAGAGGATGACAAACAAACATCTTGACCACAAGCTGAGAGGACATTCTGGCTTCAGGCAGCAGCTGGCTTCAAGGCTCGCTGTGGCATTCCTGTGTCAGTGTGAAGCGTGGGCGGGGGGTGGCCAGGGGGGGGCCTCCGGTCTGACCCAGGAGCAGTGCTCACTCGAGCGGTGTCGCATAAAGATGCGGAGCCAGTCCTCACACCCACAGCGAGGCACAAAACACTGACACTCTCCTGTATAGACTCCCCAAACCCTCATTATGTCTTACACCTCAACTGAGGTTCTAACCAGTCCTCCCCCCCAGAAGAGCCCCGCCCCTTTAGGAAAGCCAAGGTGCCAAAATTAATCAGCTAATTTCTAGCAGAGTTTGCTAATTGATAGATGCAGCTGTTAGCTCTGTCAGTAGCTGCACCGCAGGACGGCATTTCCCAGGTTTGTTTTGTTCCCTCGGGTAGTAAAACAGATAATTAACTGAAAAAAGGTGAAAACTTGTGTTTTTTTTTAAGAACAGGGCTAATGAGGCTGCTCTGATGTTCTGAAGTGGCTGAGCTCGTGTCATAGGTGTACGTGCGCTGTCGCCCCGGCGGCTGTCAGCGTGGGGGGCCCAGGCACTGTGGGCCGGGGGGGGGGGCACCGCACAGCCATTCTTCCCCTCGGCCTGGCACTGTGCATTCCGGCAAACACGCTCCCACATTACGGGTTTCCTTGACAGACGCTGTCACCGGGGGTTCCGTATGGAGCCTTTTATTTCCCAGTGCCCCCGTTTGCTGGGTATTCCTGCCTTAGCGGGTAAGGCTGTCCGAGGACACGGTGCTGGATGTGCTCTCTCACCCCTGCTGTTCTGTGTTTTTCAGTCTGGCTCCCTGCTCTCTGCCACATGCGCTCTCTCTATCTCTCTCTGTCCCACCGTCTCTTTCTCTCTCTATCTCTCTCTGTCTCTTACTCTATCTCTCCCCCTCTCTCTATGCCCTCCTGTCTCTCTCTCTCTGTCCCCATCTCTCTCTCTCTGTCTCTCCCCCTTTCTCTATCTTTCTCTCTCTCTCCCCTCTCCCTCTCTCTCCCCTTTTCTCTCTCTCCCCCTTTCTCTATCTTTCTCTCTCTCCCCCCCCCTCTGTCTCTGTCTCTCTCTCCCCTTTTCTCTCTCTCCCCCTTTCTCTATCTTTCTCTCTCCCCCCCGCCTCTGTCTCTGTCTCTCCCCCCCCCCTGCCCCATCTCTCTCTCTCTCTCTCTCTCTCTCTCTCCCCTTTTCTCTCTCTCTTCCTGGGAGGGGTTTAGGTGACTCAGTGAATTGCCTGCACACCTGCGTGTAAGTGTCCCACGATGGACCCGGCTCCCACCATACCTTCTACCCCTCCGTCCAGGCTTTGGTCAGGATCGCTGAGATTATTATGGGATAGGCATATAAATCACACCAACCCTGCACATGGACGTGTGTTTTCCTGCATTGAGTGCAAGAGCGGCTGCAGCTGCCTGGATGCTCGGCTGCACACTGCAACCTCCTTGCAGTTTAACTT